CTATATACAGTAACAACTATAACTCCCACATAATAAAGAATACTAAGTTCTCTTTTCTTGGAACAACACTCAGTAAAACAAAATCAAGAACTATAAAATAAACTATACAGTGTCCTGTACTTCATTATAATTGGTACTGATCATATATCCACCTCACAGAGGAAAAGAAAGAGGGAGAGGGAGAAGTGGGAGACATATATACAGACAGATCAAGACTGAAGCTTGGTGAGAATTCTGGTTATATTATGGACCTAATTTATTAGTAAGAGTCCATACGTGGGGCTCTCATATATGAATTAATAAGTTCTCCTGTGAACCCTCAGTCTGAGAATCAGAAGCAGGTATCAGAAGAATTTTGCTCTCCAGATCCTTAGGGTATCTTATGTGTTTTTGTGCCTTTAATGTCTGCTGCTCTGGATCTGATTCGTCTGCACCCATGGGGAATGACTCTGATCAAAGGACCATAGGTCAGTCCCTGAAAAAATCCTTGGAGCCATTCCTTTACTATAATGGTATGTCTATGTTAAGAACTGTGGGACTCTGGAAGGCAAAGTTCACGGGATACCTGACCTGCAGGAAGAATGAAAGTGCTATGAGATCAGAGGAAGAAGAAATTACTTCCAGCTTGGGGAAAGGGAATGGGCAGAGAGAAAGGAGAAGGAGACTGAAGGAAGACTTTACGGAATATGTGACAATAGTGTCTGGCCTTCAAGCAAGGGTAGGATTTGTATAGGCAGTGATCAGAAAAAATTATTTCCAGCCTAAAGGAACAAGAGACAAAGGCAAGAGACCACAAAGCATCAGGAATGTTTGGGAAATGGAGAACAAACCACCCTGTCTATGCACAGAATGAGGGGAGCAGCATGCTGAAAGGGAAGGTTAGAATTACAGTGGATAAGCCTTAAATGCCAGGCTAAGATGTGTTGCTTTTATTTCAAGACAGGGGGGAGTTACAGAATATTTATAAGCAGTGAAGTGACACAATCATATTCATACATCATCTGTCAAACACATATAGTTCAGAAGATCTCTTGCTAGGATAACAGGCCAGGAGGACCTGAAATAGGATGGTTACAGGGGAATGGTAAGAAAGGAAGGGAAGCTTAACATATGGTAGAGGAAGAATCTACAGGACTTGGAGAGGGATTGAGTGTATAGGACAAATTATATGGAAGTTAAAAATGATTCTTAGGTTATGAATTCTAGTGCTTGGGAGAGAATGTTAGTATCACTGGTAGAGAAAGGAAGGCAGGGACATCAGGATTTCAGAACAAAATGATGAATTCTACTTTAGGTATGTTGGAATTAAGATAATGGTGGGATATTTGGGTGGAGATGACTAACTGGAAGTCAGAAATGTTTGTCTGGAGCTTAGGAAAGAGGTCAAGGCTGGAGATGTGGAGATCACCTTCACAGAAATGAAAGCTGAAAAGTAGATAAGATGAGTGGGGGAAGAACAGAAAAGTCCAGTCTAGAATCCTAGGGTCTTCCAAATTAGAGTAAGAAAATGAGTACTGATTACTCGGCACTGACAATTAGGAAGTCACTGGTGGCTTTTATGACTGCAATTTCAATACAGTAGTGTACATCAAAAGGAGTTTAGTATTGCGTGAATAGAGATGACATAATGACAGTGAGTATCAATTACTGATTCACATATTTGGCAGTGAAAAGGTTGCAAAACATGGGTCAGGAAAGAGAAATGAGAGAAGTCAAAGGCTTATAGACTATAAAGAAGTCTCACAACTACATCAAGAATGCTTTCTTCCAGAGTGGGAGGAAACATTAGAGCACCAAATAACATCATTAAAAAATGGAACTGGTTATGACAGAGAGAAAAGGGCTAATTACAAATACAGGAGTTATCTCCCAGTCAGTTATTTGTGTACAGTGAGGCTACCCTACCTGTTGGAACAAAGACAAAACTCAATATGAAACTAGAGGAATGAATTAAAATGAGAAGATACAGTATACAACTGTGGCAACCCCAATTTGACCTGTTTTAAGTGATGGGAAATCCATAAAAGAAAAGGCAAAGACATGGACTACCACTTTCAAAGGTCATTTAACCTACGTAAATTAATCTCTACAAAGCCAAAACATATGGCAGCTCAAGCCAACACTGGTTGGAAGTATAACTCATTTTTAACATCTCATGAAGGACGGTTGACTGTGAGCACATTATCTCAAAAAACAGTCAGAAGTAGTGGAAGGAAAAACAAGACTGCAGGAAGCTTCATAAAAGACCAAACAAATTCATCCTATGATGAAATAAAAAAAATGAAGCATAACTAAAAAACAAAACTTTTCTGTTCACTTTAGTTTCCCTCACCAGCCTCAACTTATCCTGAGTTTTAACACTCCCAATACTATTTTTACAGGACTGTGTCACACATTTACTGTTACCTAACATTGTCTCCATTGAAACTTTAAGTGTCCTCCTTGTTTATGGTTATTTCTTTTTCTTACTTAAAAGGTACTCAGAATTTTTTATTTTTAATGATCATAAAAGAAGTTAATTTCATTTTCCTAAGAGATGATGGATGACATGATTGGCTTTGCTTCTTACATGAATTCTCAAGAAAAGATGCTAGTTAACTGGAAAATTTACATGAAAGAAAATAAGAATAAATAAAGCATAGCCTACAACTTTGGATCACAGATCTAGAACTGGAAGGGACCCAAGAAATCATTTAGTGAAATTCCTCATTTTACATATGAGGAAACTGAGAGATTTGTCTAAGGTCATATAAGTAGTAAAATCTGAATACTTCTTTCTGTCTTTCTATGTTTCTATCTATATATCTTTCTATGTTTTTATCTATCTATCTATCTATCTGTCTGTCTGTCTGTCTGTCTGTCTATCTTCCTACCTAACTACCTATTTAAAAAGAACTACTGCACCACCAGAGGCAGCTAGGTGGCACTGTATATATATAAAGTGCTGGACTTGGGGTCAGGAAGACCCGAGTTCAAATGTAGCCTCAAACACTTAATGGCTGTGTGACCTTCGGAAAGTCACTTAACCTCTGTCTACATCAGTTTCCTTATCTGCAAAATGGGGATAGTGCAGACTACTTACTACTATCCCAGGGTTTAATACAAGAGCCTTGTTAGTGGCAGAATTGCCCAAACAACTGGTCCTGCTTCCAGTCCAGGGGCCGCCATCTCCATCAGCTGCCAATCAACTGTCACACACAGGGTAGCCAAGCTAGTCTAACTGAAGCAGCAAAGCACCCTGAGGAAGAAAAAGGAGGCATATGCCAGGCAAATCAAACCATGAACCCCTTGATCACCATCTCCCCTCAGACCCCGATAGAAACAGTCTAGGACTCTGAACCCAAAAGTCTTGGAAAAAGTGATGTTTCTAGCATAATGCTCTTAGCCATCATCCTGGGAATCAATCTCTAAAGAGATGCAGCCTAGCAATTGATCCTGCATATAATACATACAGCCATAGCTACTAAAGGCCCAGGAAAGAAAATTCTTGTTAAGAAAGTCCTTGGCATTATCAAATGGATCAACATCAGAAATTGACTATAATTTTATTGAAGAAGAGAAATCATCATCTATTGTGCTATTGTACCCTAACACCCTGAGACCCTTCCATCTGACTTGCAGCTGAAACCTTCCACAAATGTTGTCTCCCTCATTAAAATGTGAGCTCCCTGAGAGCAGGGACTGTCTTACTTTTCTTTTTGTATCTCAAAACTCAGCACAGTGCTTTGCATACACGGTCTAATAAATCCATCCTTCCTTCCTTCTTTCCTCTCTCCCTCCCTCCCTCCTTCCTTCCTTCCTATTGATGGCCTAGATCCTCAATCAAGTTTAATCCCAACAATCTTCCTTCCAAGTTGCTGTGCATATTTCCTTTCTTCTCCTAGCTCTGGAAACAATGATCAAATCCATGGCAATAGTGCTCCTGAAGAGGTTATGTCATTAGACTTCCCTAAGGCTCTGTCCAACCATTCCTGTGACTTCCCTGACCAAACCACCCTTCCATAGCCAACATTTTCCTATGTGTTGTTTCCTCCTATTAGAATGTAAGTTTTTTGAGGGAAGAGACTGTGTCTTCTGTATTTACATCTCTATCATGTAGCCAGACATATTAAGAAGCACCAAACAGCTTTTTCATTCATTCATTCTCACCATTTTATGTATGAGGAAACTGAGGCACAAAGAGGAAATCATTTGCCCATCCTCATACAGGCTGCGCCAAGGGCAGAATTCAAACTCAGAATGCTCCTGACTCCAATCTTATTGTTTTCATATTCTGTCTTTTCTGCCCTACCATAGTGATTCCTGACTCTGAGTCAGAGGACCTGGGTTTGAATCTTGTCTCTGACATTTACTACCTGTGTGACAATGGAAAAGTCACTTGATATCTCCCTGGATCTGTTTCCTCATCTGTAAAATGATAGGGTTATAGTAGATCACATGGAAAGAATCGCAGACTTGGAATCAAATGATCTTGGTTCTAATCTAGTTTCAACCCTTACTGTAGGTATCTAATTTCTATAAGTCTTAGTTTCTCCATTTGCAAAATGGAGATGATAATAATATACTATCTGACTCACACAGCTGTTGTGAGGAAAGAGCTTACAAACCACAAAACATCAGTTCTGTATTATTGCTAGTTTAATTACTGATATGGCTAATATAATTGTTTAATACTGCATAGATTATTTTTTTATTTCTATTAGTAAAGCATCCTGGATTTTTTAGTCATTTAGTCTTCCCATTACATCAACAACTTTTGTGAAACTTTAGAAATGAAAGGTGCAGAGTTATAAAAGGTAAATAACTATAACTGAAATGATTCTAAAATTAGCTAACAAAAATACACGCAGCAAAATGAAGATGTATGTATTATTGTAATTTTTGAAAAGGCCTATGAGATTTAATAAAGTTTATACAAAGATATCAACTTAATAAGGCCATATTTGGTAACCGTATGCCTGAAGTCTTATAACAAAAAACAAAATATCCATCTATCATACCTTGGCAAAAAAGACAGTGAGGTGAGTTTCGCTGCCAACAATCCAAATGGGGAACTTTGGCGATTTCAAGTAAGAACCAACCTAGGGCAAATTCAGCAAAAATAAAACAACAAGAACAAACAACAAAAAAACCCCAACAGGTCAGCCAGATTGTTCTATT